CGGAATTCGTTGAATTTGGCCATCGGTGCCGGACATGTGTAAACTCGTGCATTGTCTTGATGGAAGAGCACTTTCTTCTTCGCCACATGGGGACGTTTTTTCTTTAAAATGTTGTTGAAATGGTCCAATAAGGTTGCGTAGTAATCGCCATTGATCGTTTACTTCGACGGAAGGTAATCAATATGAATTATACCGCGTGCATCCCAAAAAACTGTAGCTATCACCTTTCCAGCCGACTTCACGGTCTTCGCCTTCTTCGGAGCTGGTTCACCCGGTGAAGTCCATTGTTTTGACTGTTCTTTCGTCTCGGGTGTGAAGTAATGGGTCCATGTCCACAGTAATAAATCGATGCAGAAATTCATCTGGATTACGTTGAAACATCTCCAAACATTGTTTTGAAATCGTCACACGGTCGCGCTTAGCGAGCAAACGTGGCACCCATCTTGCCGATAGCTTTTTCACATCCAATTGTTCGTGCAAAATTGAAATAACTGTGCCATGTGATATGCCTGTGGCCTCAACAAGCTTGCGCACTTTCACTCGTCGATCAGTCAAAACAATATCGTGGACTTTATCGATGATTTCTGGCGTAGCAGCCTCAATTGGACATCCCGAACGAGGGGAACGCATCACATGTGAATATATCACCACATTTCAATTCATTCACCCAATTGTATACAGTCGTAAACGTTAGTGCAGATGTGCTATGAACATTATCCAACTCGGCTTTGATTTATTTCGGCGTTAAACCTTTCATATATAGATGTTTGATCACTGCACAAAACTCATTTTTTTCCATTTTGCAAATAAAGTCACGCGATGAATTCCGCTCAAAATTTGAAAGTAATCAGCTGAAAGATGCTACTTGTTAAAAAGTAATGTGACATGACACTGTGAGTGCCCTTTGACAGATTTTCTAAGAACTTATTGACTTTCCCTCGTATTGAGCTTCTCATCGAGTGTCGCGTGGGTGTTCAACTTGTCGAAATTGTTATTGTTGGCTCTTGTGACCGGCCTAGAAAGGGCTTGTATATAACGCGCGGATCCACTTGGGTTTTTCTTTTTTCGAGCGGTATTCGTGCGTATGGCCGAGGCCGAGTCCCCGGATCGGGGGGGGGGGCGTGGGAGGCGCGTCGGACGATTCGGTTGACGGTCGCAACGGTCGACCGCTTTCCTCTGTCCTCTCCTCCTCCCTTAGGTCCTTCGAAGTCTTTCAATTTTGCGAACGAACAGGTCTTACCAACAAATTTAGATTCCAATATTGTCGGCGCCACACTTTTCAATTGAATGGCAGAAACTTCGTCTGAACGTACGGCTAATACTACGTGGTGGTATATAAATGAAAGCAGCAACACATCCTTCCCATGGAAACAGATCAAAAATTTACTCAAGTTTCTAGGAAGAGAGGCATGCAGCAAAAAGAATATCGCATAAAGCTAAAGTGAAGGCTTTGGAGACGCCCACTCAATCTATTGATGTCGTTACATGTTCTCTCGCCATTTCTGATAACGTCGATGGATCCATCAGGCCTCAGTCCAAACAAGTTGTACCACGCAAGTGGCTCTAATTACCTTTATTCCGACACGAACATCGCCTTATGCGGTTTACATATATTCGGATAAATCTTCCACCATACATTTTTCTGTTTTATTCAAAATTCCGAGATTGCTAACATGGATATTTTGTCAAACGACTAGGCAGTGGCAAAGCTATAGTAGAGGTTAGATCAGCGGAAGCCGCTAACTGGTTACAAACACCGCTTTTGAAAAATATAAGATCGGGGCCTTCATTCCATTGTATCGCGTTCTCAGAATGGGTATCGTTAAGGATATAGATCAATCTCTCTCCTTAGAATATCTCAAGGATAGTATTCGGTCGTCGGTCAAAATTTTAGAGGTTGAACCGTCATATGACTATAAATCACGACTTATATCCCTTCAAGAACTCTTTGTATCAAGTTCGCAGGACAGTCGTTGCCTAGAGACATTACTTTATTCAACGCTAAATATGCCGTTGAACCGTATGTGCCTAAGATCAGGATACGTTACGTGTGCTACACAGTAGAACATATAGAAAAGGTCTGCAAAAGCTCAAAACCAAGATGCCTTTACTGCGATCAGGAACATAACAAGTCTGTTGATTGCGAGCACGGATTACTACCTACTAAATGCATCAACTGCGATGGAGAACACCTGGTTCGTTTGACTGCCTGGTCATTCGAAAGCATACGCATGTCATCAACCTTGCCGCATACGAGAATATATCACATGTCGAGATGAAAAGAACAATTGTCGCAAACGGCAACTTCAACTAGTTCCTCCATTTATATAAATCCTCGTAATTTCCCTTATATTTCTAATAATTTGTAGCAGTCGTCTTACAGAGATCACCGTGACATAACTACTTTCAATAGATTCTCTAAAGATCCTGGGGATATTAGAACATACTATCCTAGTTATGCGGAAGCAGCAAGTGCATCTTCGTCGAGCCGTTCCCTCCGCAAGCCAAGGATCATCAATATGAAATCTTTTCCAGTGGGTAGTGCTCGTCTGGAGATGTCACAAAGGTATCGTGGCGGCGGACATCTGTCAACTTCCAAAAATAATACCTCCATCATGCAACAATACAATGAAATTCTCTGTGAACCCAATGGTTGCCCTTACGAAGGACAAAATTCTGCCCTTCCAAGGAATGAAAACTCTTACTTTGTCAATAGCGTTTTTAAACAGATATTAACACTCTTATCCAGCTTCAAGAATCTGTTCAACAATCAGCAGCTATCAGCATTCATTGACCCAGTAATTGCACTACTATCAAGATTAGCTAACTTTATCAGAAATTCTAATTTCAATCTTGATTTCTTCATTAACCTATTCACTGGCGCTGGATTTAACAACTATTTTGACTCCACTGAAACTTCAGAAACTAACATTAAAATTCACTAATAACAGAAGAGTTTCCGCTCATTCAGCAGCCTTCAATGGAATTGTTGCGGAGCTAGAAGTAAATTATCTCAGCTGCAGTCAATCTGCAAAAATTACGACATTATTTGCATCCAAGAATCGCTCCTCTTTCCATTTTCTACATTTTCTCTGCGCGGATTCTATGTCATGAGAGCGGACATAACTAATCTAAGTATGAGAGGAATCTGTATCTTATCAGACAATATCGTTTTCAGCACTATTGACCTACCAAATTGGAAGGATGATTCGGTGGAGATGCTCAGTGTGAGTCTTCTGACAACGAGAAATTCACAATCATCAATATCTATCGTCATCCGAATCGCAACATTCCTGCTCAATTCTATGAAGACTTCATGAAGTTCGGAGACTCAAAAGTTAACTGCATTTTTGTTGGGGATTACAACGCCCATCATTCCCAATGGGACTGCTCAAACACAGTAGACTAATTTTAGCATCAGTAGAGAATCTATGCTTGTGTTCTTAACAGTCAACAATCCACGTTGCTTTTCCCTCCTAACTCGTCAGTCATCGATTTGACCATAGCAACCGCTAATATGGCTTCCCTGGGTGAAGTGCGCACAGAGGACACCTGGGGCAGCGACCACTATCCCATCACGATTAAAATTGGCATCAGTTTGGTCTTGCATCAAAGGTACGTCTACAAAATTAACCTTAGTACTAAAGAGCTGATTGATTTTCAGGACTCTAGTTGGTTCATACGATTCGTTTATCAGCCATCTACCATCTGATGAAAAAGAGGCATTCGACTGGCAAATCATTTGGTAGACACGGCTATAGCGTGCTCCTCTTCTTTTAAGAACTTAAATGCGGCTACTGTTCCTGTATCAAACGAGAGAACCGCTTCTCCATGGTAGACAGATAAATGTCAGGAAGCAATCATCAAACGCAGAGGCAGCCCGAATCTGGCAAAAAACTCCTGTAACCGAAACTTTTATTATAAATTTAAAAAAAGAGAGGGCGAAATGCTCCAAGATTCTTTACAGGGAAAAGAGGAAAGGATGGAGAAAATTTGTTGAATCCTTTGATTCTAAAACCCTGACTGAGAAATTTGATCAGAACCTTTAAACGACGCAACCTGGCGCTTTCAAATTACACAGCTGACCCCTCTAAAGAGAGACAATTCATTTAGAAAGCTATTCAGAAGCTATGCCCGTCTTCCTGTTTTCAAGATAACTTAACAAGTCTAGAAGAAATGAAGAGGGAAGATGGCAACTTAGACGCTATTTTCGAGGAAATCGATTCACCAATCACTGTAAATAAATCAAATATTTAGATCTCGCAATTTTCGCTGCAAAAACGAAATTCGGCTCTCGACCTGGACAGAAATCAATAATAATATGGCATATCTGTCATATAAGTACAAAGAGATGTTAGTGAATCTCTTCAACAGCTTTCTAGCTAAGAGACTTATTCCGGACGAAATGGAAGATATCCTTGGTTACCTTTATTCCCAAAGCGGGAGGCTCGGGAGTTAGGCCATCTCTCTGCTTTCATGCATTTTAAAGTTTTTACTTGAGAAAATAGTGTACTAAAAACTACTCTGGTTGATAGAGTCGCAATCACTTCTTCCTCACAAACAGATGGGATTCCGCCCTAGTCGATCTACATTCACTACCGTATTCTTAGAGCTGCTTTCAGCGGGGAATTTCTCGCTGCCTTCTTGGATATCACCGGAGCGTTCGACAATGTACATGCAGTAGTAATCAGTGAATTTAAAAACGCAGGGACACCTGCTCCAATCAGGAAATTTGTGGAGAATTTGATTATCGCCAGGACAGTATACTTCACAAAAGATGGGATAGTCAGTAACAAACATTTTGTGTATAAAGGCACTCCTCAGGGCTCGACTCTTAGCCCGTTCTCTCTCTCTTCAATCTATCCTTAAGCAGGATTAAGGAATGCGCTGTGAGCAGGATTAAGGGATGCCGAATTTTTTCAATATGCAGATGATATAGTCATCTTTGTCGTAAATAGCAATCCCTTGGAAGCGCTCTCCAAGGTACAAAGTGCTCTGGACAATGTTGCAGTCTTTCTTAGCGACAGAGACTTGGATCTTTTCCCTTACAAATTCAAATGGATGATCTTCACATTCAAAAAGCACAAACCAATCGCTAACCATTCACTCATGGGACAACAAGGCCATACCAAGGATCGAGCAAGTCAGATTTTTAGGAATGACTCTGGACAGTAGAATAAAAGGTAATTTTTATTTCAAGTACCTTGTCCAAAAGGGGCAAGCAATTATCAACATTATTTCCTTGCTCATGGTTGTATGGTGGAGTTCCCACCCTCAGTGCTTGCTCTATTTACAGATCACTATTCAGGGGCGCCGTAGAGGACGCCTGCTCTATTTTTCCTTAGCATGGCTAATTCCTTCAATTGGAAAGGTTACAATACAAGGCCATCAGAGTGACAATAATCGACCCCAATCAATGCTATGTGAGGTAACTGCCTTTAAAACTTAGATTTATTCTCTTGAGTGAGAGATTTCTATTAAAGTGCATGTTCAAAAAGAATTATTTAGTCATTAACAATATAAAGCATTTGGAGAGAGTATTGCTTACCCCGGTAAGCAAAAAACGCTCATTCTCAAGAAATTTTTTAAATTTTATGTCACTAACAAACACGAACTGGCGTACATGCACAGATCTTGCTCCCTTCCAGCGTTTGAACGCGATTATTCGACCTTCATCTTTCCTAAAGATTTTGTGACATACCGTAAAGATAGTTCTAATTGTGAAATCATTCAGGAATTTAGTCACAACCTCCGGAATCTTGACAGTTCTGCTCTTATAATCTATACGGACGGACCTAGAATATCGGAGGACGGCTACACAGGTGCGGCCTTCTTTCACCAGAACTTGTGTGTGTGTGTGTTGTGATCACTGCTTTAAATACAAATTAACCTCGAACTCCTTGGTATTCACAGCGGTTCACTTGCTATTCATAGCCTGAGCTATATTATAGCCTATTTTACAGGCCCTTTATCCTTGCACTAGATGCCGGTTACCAGAAAATCATAATTTTCTCTGATTCTCGGAGCTGGAGGCCAAGCTGGTCAATGGTAACTATATTATTCATAGAATCAAACTTTTACTGAAATTGGAGGGAAACGATATCGAATGCTCTCTCTTCTGGATTCCGGCGCAAGGGTATTCTGGGCAAAAAGATGGCTGATAAAGCAGCTAAGGAGGCATGTTCTTCATGCCTCAGGGCCCAAGAAGATTCTTTTTAACTCCCTACCCGGACCTTCAAGTGGAGGCTAGATCTAGATCGCAGCAGTACTTTAACAACTATCTTGGGAGCAAAGCCAGGGATACTTGCGCGCATTATCCCACCCTATATCCACCAGAGTCAGCGAAATCTTACTTTAAACTTAGGGGGAGCTCTTAGTAGGAGCGAGATAGTATTGGTCAACGGACTGAGATCCAACCACTACAACCTCAACTACAGTCTTCATAGAAATAACATGGTAGATTCACAGCATGCCCGTGCGAGGATCCCAGACAGGATGCCAACCATATCTTTAATTGTCAGCTCACTAGGGACAAATCCAGATGTCCATTTGTCTGCTTATCTCAGGAACTTCTCCTCTCAAAACCCTCTGGACATTTTTCCTGCCCTACAACACCCCTTACCTAAAGTCTGCAGACTGCTCTTCTCCTTTTTTAAGGCCATTGATATTTCCATTTGAACTGTGCAGCACCGGCGGTTGCCGCGGCTCGCTCCCTCTTTCTCTTCCCCCCTCTGGTTCCCTTTCGAAGCGTCCCGGGAGGGGGAGGAGGGAGTTACGTGGCATTTTACGTTGCATTTCATCTGTTTCAGATTCCGGTGATCTTATAACATAGCAGTCCTGTTTTCTTTTCTTTTCTGGGAAATTCTTGTAGAGGGTCGGAGGCATATTGAATAAGACTGATCACGTTAATCCGGCTGCACCGGAACCTGGGCCACTCAAATATATAAGAAATAGAATTTCTATTCCTTATTGTTGAATTTTTAAATCGGTCCAGTAAGATTCTTATTGTTAAAGATTAAACCATGGTGAAAGGGATAACATGCTGTGTGCAGTTGCACAATGTCTCTTTCTAAATCCTGCCTTGTCTGTCTATGGACTGTTCATAAAATTTAAGGGCTACCAACTATGAACCGCGAAACATGGGCTGGTATTCATAGTGGATTTTTGCATTTAAAAGTGTCTTAAGTACAGTCTTAAAATGTCATAAATCAACACAAGGACTGTATTAACATCTCAAGACATATTTAAGACAGTTTTAAAATAAAAATGGACTATAATTTAGAAAGAGACACTGTCCACACACCATGTTATCCTTCCACCATGGATTAAAGTCATAAAACTGAATTACAAATTTGTATGTTAATAAAATTACAAGTTTTTGATCTTTTAGGATATCTTTAATTATAGAATCATAAAACAATACTTGAAGACTCTATGAAAATTCTTTTACTATGAAAATCCTCATTTTATGTCAGACCATTGGCTGTACATACATAATATGTATAACTTTTTATTGTAGCAAATATACTAGCCATTGTTTACATCATCTTGAACTTGGTCCAATTGTACTTCTTCCTTTTTTTCTGTATCATCACAATTTTCATTTATTACAGACTCTATTGAAATATCAGCATTATCATTACTATCATTGATTGCAGCCTCAATATTATGTTCTGGATTAGGATCTCGATTTTCTTCACCCTCTTCTAGTAAACGTGGAGCTTCTACAGTATGTAAAGACGAAGATGGTTCAAAGTTTTGTGAATGTTTGCTTAACCCTATCTGAACTTCTATTAGATTTAATTCTTCAACCAATGCTTTTTCTCTTTTTTCAATTTCCTCTGAAACAATACAAAAAATATACATTTGCATAAATATACATGAATTTATTGTACATACAATAATAAGACTATTCTTTATTATATTGCATTAAAACTGACCTTTACCAAAATTCAAAGATTTATTTCATTTTAGATACAATGTATAATTTAGCTATAAAGAACAGACCTAATATTTATGAGATTACTAACCATGAAGTTCTTTCGTGGACTGCGCTAATAACATGTCTGTTTGTGGATGTTTACGTTTTGGTATGTAATAAATAGAAGGTTGTGCGTGTGTTTTAATAAATAAAGCAAGAGGTAACTGTGCATTGCGCCAATCTTGAAATTGTCGACTACGTGCAAGCTTTGCTTCCAATGCTCGCACTTCAGCCAATTGCCGTTTTCGTGACAAAAACAATTGTTGTCTTTCTCTTCGCAATTCTTCTTTTTCTCGTCTTCTAGCTTCTTCTACTCTAGCTTCCACTTCTGCTTTTTTATCTTCCTGCAAATGAAACATTATACTTCAAAGACATTAGAAGGTTTGCGGATTATCGCCATGTTTTCATCCATTGCTAATGCCAACATTTCACCTGACAAGATTCATGAAATGTTGGCATTAGCAATAGATGAAAATACGGTGATAACTCGCAAATCTTTTGGTATCTTTGAGATAATACCTGTGAAAGCCTAAAAAGCATTATACTTCGTGATAAGCTACTTAATTAGCGATTAAATTTAAATATATCCTACCTTCGCTTTGAGTTTAGTTTCCTCTTGTCTAAATTTTTGTAAAGTACCTAAAAGTGCACCAAACATTCGTTTATTTCTTTGTCGACTACGCTCATCTGTTCTTTCTCGTCTGATAACTTCTTGACGTGAAGGAATTTCTCGAGGAGTAGCTATTACTCTGGATGATACAGCAGGCTTAATAATATCAAAATATATATTAGTTTGGTAGTTATACAGTTTAGCATAATATCAGCTAAAAAATCAATAAAATTAGACTTATTCGATGCGTTTTTGAAATAAAAAAATCTGGCAGAAATAAGCGTCGCTTTGCTCCGCAAACTGAGATGTTAAAGCGTTAAAGTTAACGACTCTATTGAGGTTAAGAAATCTGTCGCAATCACGAAATACTACAATGCAAGCATGCGTTATAAAAAATTTGCTACTTTAAAACAAGTTCTCTGCTCTAAAACACAAATTCACGATTTTAAAATAAATTCTCTGCTTTAAAAATAAATTCACTATTTTATAAATAAATTCATTGATTTAAAAAAACGAATTTACTATTTTAAAAACACAAATTATTTTCTTACATTATTTTTGTGTTTCGAAAACAGTAAATTTGTTTTTTAAAGTAGTGAATTTGCGTTCTTTTCTATCATTTTTCAGCATTTTTCCAGTATTTTTCTAGCATTTTTCCAACATTTCCGAGAAAGTCGCTTCATGGAGAATCTAGAATAGTCTCTTCATGGAGAATCACAAAAATTTCGGACCGACAAGTACGCAATTCTATCCCCAACGATATAAGTAAATGATTATATTTATATTCTGGAAAAATGAATACTTATCGAACAATTATTTATTAATAATGAATTTCTTTTTATACGTATGGGAATTTAATTTCGATAATCGTGTATTTAACGAATATATGCAGACGAACAGTAATGCATCCCAAATAATTTTGATTGGTTTGATCCCCACTCTATTACTTTTTCGAGATTCCGTTTTTCGAAATTCTAATTGTCATGAGACAGCACCCCGAAGCGATATTTTAAAAATGCGGGAAGCTCGAGAATACTATAACCTATGTGCTTTGTAATCTATTCGTTTGGTTTCAATATTTTATATTGAAATTAAAAATAATGACTATATAATTAATAAATGTTAATACTGGAGATGTTCATACGTACTTTAAGAATTCGTTTCTTTTATTTCAAAGTTGTATTTATATTTGTTTCTTCTACTGTTACTATTACAAGATCTATACATATTCTTGTTTTCATAAATATAACTACAAGATTCTTGAAAAATCTTTATTGCATGTATTAATGCCACGTTCGTCTTCATATTAATTATTCCTTCAATGTCTTTTTAGGAATATGTACAAGATCGAATTATTTGTAAATTACATTTAATAATACAATGCTTCCAACGCTTCACGATTGATCCACTTGTATAGTATTGACAATGTTAGTAGCACTAATGGATCATTCTATCGGAAATATTATATTGTATTTGTAATGATAGCATCTGAAGCGTTTGAAGTGTTTAGTGGATTGCACCCTGGTACTCATGAACTACAAAAAAGCGATAAATTAATGTTAAGATGCTGGAAGCACTAGCAGACTGTAGAATAGACCACCACTGACTCTAGAATAGACCGATACAGTAGAGTCTCTCTAAATTTGACTTCTGTAATCTTTGCATTCTTCACATGTACTTTTACAAATATTAATGTCATGACCCTTCCATGTCATGGTACGCTGGATATGTGTTGCACGCGCTTCTGCACCTAATTGTATTAGAAACACCCTGCATATTACAACAGGGTTGTAAATATCTTTATGGTAGAAGTGTCACTCTGACGGCACTCCCCTCTCTATATGGAATTTATCAATATCTTTATGAGCCTGACACTTGCTGTGATATTCTCGTACATATATTTGATTACTGCAGTGTATAGTAGAGTCTCTCTAAATTTGGCCCATTCTACGATCCCAATGCGGCTCCTATCTTATTTCTGAGACCTTACCTTGTATATGAAAACGCATAAACTGGGACACTCTTGACATAAATATAAAATGCCCATTTAAGATTTGCAGACGACATAGTTCTAATCTCCGAGTATATTGATGGCGCCAAAACAGTGCTGGAGAGAACGAATAAAGTTTTGTAAGAAATAAGTAATAACACGAGAAAAATATTAGAGCGCCGAAATTCGATCCGAGACCCTGAGTCTCTTCCGTCATGGTAGACTTCCGTCCTGCTACTGAGCCACAGTCCTGACGCTGATAACTTCTCTGTTGTGCCTATTTCCTCTAAATTTCTTAGTTTTTCGAAAAGTAGGTTTAAAAATCAATATTAAAACACTAAACTGATGACAAATTTTATTTTCAGAAGATATGTGACATTATCTTTTGATGTATGTGGTTGAAGCCTGCGAGTTAACTTCTTTTGTAAAAGAAAAAACATCGGCGTCGCACTTTGTGTCTAAAGCGGAGTCGTGTGAGAAATGCTGATCAAACGATAGCCGCGGGAATCGGCGACATCTGAAAGGCAACAATGCGAATTCCAATCAGCTTGCAGCACAATTAATAACATGAAGAGGGCATAGGTGGACACAACGCATGCGCAAGTGTACATGGATATGGACTTATCGTACGTGCCGCTTTCTTATACCCTCTTCATGCTATTAACCGTGCTGCAAGCAGGCTGGAATTCGCATCACTGCTGAGAGACTGCTACGAGATAGCGTCGTGGCGTTGTAATCAATCGAACGATCTTCGCCGACATCTTTGATTTTCGCTGATTTTCGCGTATAGGGGCAGCCCTCGAGCAACCAGCGAGTCAGTTTAGAAAAACGATCCAAAGGGATTACATTGTACGAGTATCCAGTCTATACGCATCTTGTGCGTTAAAAAGCGTTGTAATCGAAGAAGACGAGCATTTTCTCACTTTAATCCCGATCCCTGCACCGTCGAAGAACCAATCATCCTAACATTCTTACAGCATTGACGGAAGTTACGTAGAGCAAATGATATCTTACAAATATTTAGGTCATGAAATACGTATCAGTAAAAACGATCAAATATGTGAACTTTCCCGGAATAGATTTGACGTGGACTGTCTTTGAAAACCTAAGACGTATATTAAAATCACAACTCCCAATGTGACATTCTTGAACAAGTAGGAGTCAATACGCACGCGCGTACACATACATATACAATGACATTCCAACCAGTCAAATTCCACCAGTTCATATTGAGAAGAGATAAAACCATAATTTGAGCTGATAGCAGTGTCTTAAATTTGGAAATAACTCAGCGATAAATTATCGTATAAGCTCGATAAAAAAGCGATTTAAAGATACAATTCAATCTTTCGTATACGTGTTGCCTCATTAAGTTGTGACATCTAATTCATATCATGCACCATCGCAAACTTAGACTTTTGATTATCACTTCAAACTTGGACTTTTGATTATCACTTTTGTATTTTCTCATTCAAGATTCTTAAAGTAAGCATTTCAAACTATTTTACATTTTTAAATATATTTTTATGTTCATTATTTACCACGTTATAATTATTATATTTAAAAGGAAAAATTTTCCCAAATTTTTAGTATTTTGCCGTTTTTTTTTTTTAGGAGTGAGTGTAGAAAGCTTTATTACATAAATTAAACGTTTAAATGTAATATAATATTTCAGAAATTATAAAAGCCACCTAGTTGTTAAAGCAAAGTTACTCAGAATCATGATCTTGACAACATATGTCAAGGTCATCGGCAGGATGTCCCTTAATGTAAATAATTACCAAAACATTTAAAACAAAATATTGATCGATACCAAGCGCATTTGATAAACGCACCGTCATTACAAAAACGCGTTTTTTAGATTTTTTGAAGGAAAATGGATTTCATTTAAATTAATGACCTAATGACAACTATGGCGACAGACTTAATCCGAATTTAAAATTCTGACAATTAACAAAATTTCGAAAGCAAAATTATTAATATAAATAATAAAGATGATGTCAATAATAAGTTAATGTAATTTAATAATGTACAAATGAAAGCCTTTATATGTTCTACAATTTTTAAATAATTTATTATTTGTCTAATAAATAGATTTCTTTTTTACAGTTGTTGCTTTAGAACTCTCATATATGAATTATTTCAAAAATTATATAAAAATACATTTGACCTAATATATTAGGTGTAGTAAAAAGAAATCTATTATTTTTCCAATAGATGGCTTTAGTAATCTGTATCTCGCGTTGTATAAGTGCGATCGGGTTACGCCAAATGGCGTTAGAAAGATAAGATTTCGTACTAAAAAAACTTCTCAGACAGTTTTGTGATTGCTTGAGTCAGTATTGTTTGAGCGCGTGTCAAAGATGGACACCAACAAAGAGAAAATACGCCATATTTTACAGTTTTTCTTCGATAAAGGCGAAAACGCAAGCCAGGCGGCTGAAAATGTGAATAGTGTTTATGGTCCTGATACTGTAACAGTCAATATCGCGCAATTTTGGTTTCGTCGATTCCGTTCCGGTAATTTTGATGTCAAAGATGCACCACGCTCTGGAAGGCCAATTGTCGAAAATGTCGATAAAATAATGGAAATCGTCGAGTCCGACCGTCATGTAAGCACTGTTTCGATTGCCCAGGAGCTAAACATTGCACAAAAAACCGTTTGGAACCATTTAAATAAGGCTGGATACAAAAAGAAGCTCGATGTATGGGTGCCACACGAGTTAACGCAAAAAAACCTCATGGACCGAATTTCCATCTGCGAATCGCTGCTGAATCGCAACAAAATCGACCCATTTCTGAAGCGAATGGTTACTGGTGATGAAAAGTGGGTCACTTACGACAACGTCAAGCGAAAACGGTCGTGGTCGAATCGCGATGAGCCGGCGCAAACGGTGGCCAAGTCAGGATTGACGATCAGGAAGATTTTGCTGTGTGTTTGGTGGGATTGGCAGGGAATCATCTACTATGAGCTGCTCCCCTACGGCCAAACTCTTAATTCGGACCTGTACTGTCAACAATTGGACCGTCTGAAAGAAGCAATCGCCCAGAAGCGGCCAGCTTTGGCCAATAGGAGAGGAATTGTGTTCCATCAAGACAACGCCAGGCCACACACATCGATAGTGACTCGCCAGAAGCTCCGGGAGCTTGGTTGGGAGGTTCTTAT